TCTTGCACCATTAAACCCGCAAACAACAACAAATTGGTTTCTAAACCGATCGCGCTACGATGTTGTGAGCGTTGACCACAAGCAGGGATGGGCAAAATGCATGCAAATATGTATCGAAATACAAATACAAAATACTTCATCAAAATTGTTTTTAATTACAAATCTAATTACATTTAGGAAAAAAACATTTAAGTTCAAGATACAAATACAACCAAATGTATTTGGTCTCCTCCAAATACGTTTCCAAATACATTCTTCAAAACTTGCGTCAGCGACTTCAGGGCACCTGCAACGGGTTTCTAGGTATCTCATTTTAATTTTGCATCACACACTCGGGAGTTAGTGTGCGACGCTCTAGTAACGTAATAAAAATATAATCACAAAAAAATGTAATCAGCTTGGACGTAATAGGTGAAAAAAGTACAGAGCTTCAAGCTGCTTTTTTTTGTCGATTACATTTTGGTATAGACCAACAAACAACCGAGACGACCAAGACGCGCAGCACTAGCTAGAGAATTTTTTATTGTTGCAACTCGCACCAGTCACGAAAATCTAGACGACCCGCGCATTTAGATGGTTCCAGGCAAACATATGGATAGAAATCAGGCTGGAAAGCATCACAAGTTCTCACAGGCGCTTATTTAGCCAGTCTGCCTGTGAACGTCGATTTCGTCACTATTCTTGCCCTGGACTAGCACCGTAATCACAAAGTCACTAAAGGCCTGTGCTTGATTGAGAGGCACTCCATTCGGTGCAGGACGTAGTTTTCTTCCTGTTCTGGACACGTCTTAGGATGAGCAAAATGAATCGTGACAATAAATTTGAGGGATGTATTTTCGCCCACAAAATTGTATTTAATTACAATTGTATTTGAAATACCCACGTTTTAGTATTTAAATACACACTTCAAATACAGTACCCAATTTGTAATTAGATGCAAATACAAAATACACAAAGTGTTTGAAATACGTATTTCAAATACTTGTATTTGAAATACTGTCAATCCCTGACCACAAGTAATGCATTTTTTCTATAAAATTTGCAAAAAGCGAACTTACTTGAGGACAAAGTACAAAAAGAGAAAGTCTTAACTCGTTTGGAAACGCAGCGAAGTCACCGATTTTTCAACAATGGGGCGCCATTCGGTACGGTTTACAAGAGATGGTGCAAGCTGTTGCGACGGCAACTGCCCGCCACAGAAAAACCATAGGGCGCCGAGAGCCGGCGTCATTAGCAGATGATCTTTTCGACTCAAAAGCGGCGCGCGTTTCGCAGGCGGCGTCATTCGCAGAACCGAAAAGCCGGCGCGGTACCAGCAAGGAACTGCAAAGCAGACGACATAAGTAGTCCGAAAAAACCAGTCAAAATAACTACTGGGTGATATCAAGGAGCGGCCAGTCTCTTTAAAGCAACCGCAAAATTCGGTTCCTTAACCCATCGCGTTTGGATTTTGTACAGCGTTGGCCACAGGTGGTGCATTTTTTCTATAAAATTCGCAAAAGGCGAGCTTACCTGAGGACAAAGTAAAAAAACAAAAAGGCTTAACTCCTACGGAAATGCAGCGAAGCCACCGGTCTCCAAACCATTGGGCGATTTATGGTTTGAAGACCGGTGGCTCCGCTGCGTTTCCATAGGAGCTAAGCCTTTCTATTTTTCCTCAGGTAAGCTCGCTCTTTGCGAATTTTATAGAAAAAATTCACCACCTGTGGCCAACGCTGTACAAAATCTGAACTCTATAGGTTAAGAAACCGAATTTTACTGTCGATTTAAAGAGCATGGCCGCTACTTGAATCACCCAATAGACGAACCATTTATTTATTTGATTCTATGTGCATTTAATGTGTTTTATTAGTAAGGATGATAAAATCATGCATTGACAACTGACACCGAAAAAGCTCGCACCGCATTTGAGTAGAAAATATGGTCTACTATTTGATGCCGACTCCCGGTGCCGTAAGCTCGTTGGTTGGCTGCAGATGGCGTCGCGACCGCTTGCGCCATCTCTTGTCTCCCGTGCCAAACGGCGCCCTATGATTTGAAGTCCGGAGGCTTCGCAGAGTTTTCATAGGCGATAAGCCTTTTTTTTATTTTTTTTTTTACTTTTTTTTCAGGTAAGTTTATTCTTTGCAAATTTTATCCAAATAATGCAGCACCAGTGGAAAACGCTACATGAAATCGGAGTGTGATAGGTTGAGAAACTGATTTTTGCGGTCGATTTGAAGAGCCTGGCCGTTATTTGGGACATCCTGTAGAGTGAAATGTTCCATGCATTTGACCGCTTTGGAAAAGTGGGGCATAGACGAGGACATCGGCGGCGGTCCCAGTTGGCGGTACCGCTGAGCCCATATCGCTGACGACGCCTTAATTTGCAGAAACAAGGAGCAAAACATCACGTATAATGTATGTACCTTGTTATTTCTTATTAGTTTGCAGAAAACCACCGAAACCGCGCATTGCCAAAATTAAATAAAACTGACAAGCGCTCGAACAACGTCAACTTATCGCGGCAAAAGGAACACGCCTAACCCTTTTTCTGCTTTCCTATTCTGCTCTTTACTCGCTTTTTTCTTGTTCTTTATCTCGGGACCAGAGTTATTAGGTCCCAGGGGTTGCCGCTTTCTGCTCCCGCGTCTTTACCCGCCTGTTGGAGGTTGTGTTGGCGCATCCATCGGAGCCATTCATGACGCCGGCGAACCGATTCCTCGAGCGCTGCCTTGCCTTGGTTCCTATGATTTGAGGAATTCTAGGAAAACCAATACTGCTGGCTGTAGCTCCGTTTTCTCGCCGACTTTTATGGCTGGAGCAATAAATTACAGTGCAATTGACCATTATAAAAATCGAGTGAAGTGACAAACCGCAGTGCGAACACGGCCCCAAGAAACCCAGCAGCCACAAATGCCTCCAACACAGACTCCGGCAGGTTCAGTGAGACTTACGATCCGGTAGTTCGTTGCATCAGGGTCTCATATAAGAACGCTATGCAGAGCGCAATTTCGTCTGCTTCTTTTGCAAGGTCTGTGGTGACGTCAGAGAGACGCCGAGCTCTGATTGGCTCTGATTGAAGGATAGTGGATAGACCTCAAAGCAAGCTGCCTTGAGGTGTACCTACTATCCTTCGAATCGAGCCAATCGGAGCTTGGCGTTCTGACGTGCACCACAACCACTGCGAAAGAAGCAGACGAACTTGCGCTGCGCATAAGATAAAGCTGGCAGGTTTTATTGGAAACAAATGCAGTATAGTATGGAGAAGGATTCGATAAGGTATATAGTAGTTACTTCAATCTGTTGGATAAGAGTTAGCGTGCGATACGTTGCGCTTCATCTGGCATACCTAGGTTAATATCACCCGCACCACAGCTACTGCTCATTAGGATATTTTTGGCGGATTTCAGGCTCGCCTCAAGTTGCGAACAGGCTGACACTACAGTCAAGTACAACGGAATTTTACCGGCAGGCTTCAATATCTTGCGGCTGCGCGGCAATATTGCGCACGTCGTGGAATGCCTCTAAGCAGATTGGAACTGGTTCGCGGCCACGCAGGAACGAGCTGTAACCTTTCCAGCGTTTGTCATCCGGCAAAAATTTCCGATTCCGTGCGCTGTGGCCATACAACTTAAAAGGCAAGGCCTGCGCATTACGTCATCATTAGTGATCCCCGACGCGCCCAAAGTGGCAAACAATCTGAAGGATGACGAGAGTCGCCCCCGAAGCGGCCGACGCGTCCGTCGTGGCGTCCCCGCGCGCCAGCGTCTCACGAGCGCTCGGCTACAACGCGGCTACGCCACGACAAACGCGTCTGGCGGTTTGCGGCCATGTCGTCAAGCTTCAGTCTGCTTCTTAGGGCTGATCGGGAGTCGTCTAACAATGACGTAATGCACAGGCCTTGTCTTTTATGGGGTGTTGGCTTTGTGCGCCCGCTCGGCGTCTGATATTGTCAGGGATGGAAAAGAGCAACAAAGGACAGTGAGGCCGGAAATAAGCGTTTAATAAAGGGAAGCTTGAGCCTGCAAATTGAAAGTCTAAACGTACAGGTTACAATACATCTCGGTATGTCGGTGATGGAAAGGCGACTGTCCCCAAGGAACACGCTAATGCCGTTTCTTCACAAGTGGCAAGTTGAAGAATGTTTCGAACCAGAACACACTATGACAGCCGTGAATGTGCTGAAAGTTTCAAGGTCAGTCGATAATTATAAGAGAGAAAACAAATCTGACCGAGTGGAGTTCGAATTCTGTTCTCCGCGTGGCAGGTGCATGCTTCACCAACTCGTCCACGCACGCGGCAATCCGTAGAAGAGACCTACTGGGCATGCTCAGAAAGCGTTCCATCGCCCGATAGACAGCGATGCCAGGACGCAAAAAGCCATCATGGGAATGGTCTCTCTTCGCCGACCGTCTGAGAGACACAATGGTTTGGCTTTCTGTGTTTATGGTTCTTGTTTCATGATGCGGTCTTCGGCCTTCTCATCGTCTCTTGCCGCAGACTCATTAGCTGCAGAGTGACACTAAGAGTCCAGGATGTCGCCACTCCATGCATTTCTCACATTGCCAATGTCCGGGGCTATAGATGGCTCCGCGGGGATTCACTTTTAAAATACAAGAAAGGGGACAGGTGCCGGCCTTCTGTTTTAGCTGATATTGCTTCAGACTTGGCGCGATTCCGTTTATTAGGGCATGTTGACTACGTGGGGACGAGATTCGAAACGTAGTTTATAGTTCATAAGTTTGACGTATTTGAATCAGACCTTCTTAATTCCTTCAGGGAAAGTTAAGTTCTTTCTGGCAAGTTGTCACGCGAAGAAACCTTTGAGTGAGAGCTCCACGGTCTGCGGACAAAGAAATGCATTTACCCATAGATGGCACAACTCCGTAAGACCCTGAATCGTCCCGTATCAAGCCTTTGTATTTTTAGACACTTCTTATTAAAGTTTTTAACATGTCATTTTTACGTCTATACGAAACATTCATTTGAAGTGGAATAGAGCGAAAGTCATCACTCACCCGTCCAGTTACTTCCCTCTGCGAGGCGAAACAATAATGCAAGCAACAACACCCGCGCACTCATAACAAAACGTCGGAAAAGCATCTCGGTTACGTTGCTCAGCCTAATGACAGCAGCCTGCAAACACTCGCTGGGAACGGAAGCCTCTGCTGCCGGTCCGATCTCTATTTACTTTTTCTCTTGACGCAACGCGATATCCCCGTGGTCCCCCTTGAAAGGAAGGGAAGATAAGTTAACGCTATTTGAAAAGACATCGGGGTTTTCTTGGAATTATCTGAGTTATCTACGTTTCCAGAGCAAGCATTAAGCAAGAGAAGCTTTGAACCCTGAAACGTGGTATGAAGGGTGTTTTAACGCAAAATGAAAAGCAGAATGGCGTGTGACGATAACGGAATATGCCGAACATGTAATTTGGCAGCGTTGTGAAGAGTACTAACATAGTGCAATGGCAAGGGCCCGCTGTGGGATACCCTAGATATATGTCTCTGTTTCTGGAAGAAAAAGGGCGGTTCAGCACGCACAAAAAATTACTAAAAAACTTATCTAAAACAGAACGCTGTCACGGCGGCGAGCGAAAATGCGACCACCTCTACAGACAGCGAGAAAGAGATACCACCATTGACTTTCATACTTTGTTTCGCATTAAAGTCCGCCTGCAGCCGACGGTTCAATCCGATGCAGCATATGGAGCAGCGAAAAATTACAGGAGGACGCTGAAGCCTCGCCTTTAAGAATGGAACGCGATAAGTAAGCATATGAACCTCCGTTCGTTCCCAAGCCGGGCTACCGTGTCTGCGTGGCCTAACATGTTGTGTAAACTATCCGAGACCGTCGAGCACGTTTTTTTTTTTTTAATTTTGAACGTCCTCCAGCGTACGTTGAAGAAAGAGTTACGTATCAGTCCATCGGGCACACGTTTTGTTGAGCGTAAGCAGGGACGATTGTGCACCACCTGATATGTTGTTTGTTTTAGTACTGTGCAGCCCATGGCGTTCGCGCGTGGTGGTACTTCATGCCGGCCCCAATAGCAAAAAAGTTCGATTTTGTTTCGTTGACTTTGTGAAACAAATAGAAAATGTCCCCCCCCCCCCCCCTTCATGAGCCCAAGCCCGAGTGCCTAGACCTTTCCAAAAAGCTATTGGAAATGAAAGCTTTTTAAATTGTCCCGCAAAAGCTTTGCAGATAATTTTTATTATTATTTGGCACTTGTTCACTGTTTTCTGCAATAAAGAAATAAAAACTGTCTGCGTGGCCTAGTCGGTGCCTTTTCTGGCTCGAAACAAAAGGGTTGTGATTCGGAATCCCGCGTTCGCCTTAAATTCTTCCAATTTTTGTTTCTTTGAGGCAAATGAATCATTTCATAACGTGAAATCGCTTCAGAGATGCATCGACCTTTAATTCGCATTACATGTCATGTTTGAATCACTCATTCCACGCGTGACTTCGCGCTTCACGTGGGCTTGTTGAAAATTCTCGCTCTAGGTCATCTAGATGTGACGTCTTATGGACATTGTGCTTGGAGACGCACGGCACAACTACGCCATTTTCACGCTCGTTCGAAGAACATCTTGTGCACCTTCGGACTATACTCGAACGCATGCAGAATGCTGGTTTGACAGTTCACCCGGGAAAAATGCAACTGGCAACATCCAAGATTAACCTGCTCGGTTTTGTAATCGACGATGGATAGCTTAGCCCTAACGAGGATAAACTGAGGGCCATAACTAAGTTTCCTCCCCCCCCCCCCCCCCCCCCCCCCCCCCCCCCATGATGAAAAGAGTTTGCAGCGATTTCTGGAAATGGTTGGATTTTATCGCCAGTTTATCAAACACTGTGCAGAGATAACGCGGCCTCTGAAACGAACTGCTGCTCAAAGGCGTCAAGTAACATTGGGCGGAGGCACAGCAAAATGCCTTCCTTCAACTGTCCAGAGCTATTGCTGAGACAGCATCTTTGAAGCTCCCAGACCTCAACCGTCCGTTTGTGCTGCAAACCGACGCGAGGCGGCTCCGGTTTAGGTGCTGTGCTGCTTCAAGACATTGATGGTGTCTTACGACCCGTAGCGTTTGCGAGCCATACGTTGACACCAGCTCAGCGGAATTACAACGTTTGCGAGCTTGAGTGCCTAGCCATCATATTCGCCCTGCAGAAATTCAATATGTATCTTGATGGCGCGCGCTTTGTGATCCAGTCGGATAATGCAGCCTTGTCCTGGCTTCAGCGTTTGGAAAATCCGGCAGGTCGATTAGCACGCTGGGCACTGACGCTTCGAAAATATGACTATACCATTGTGCACAAGCCAGGCTCACAAAACAAAGTTGCAGACGCTTTGTCGCGCGCTCCGCTCGGCGAAGAGCACGTGCCTGAGGATGCCAATGTTGTGGCTGCGATAGACGCTGGCTCGCGCTGGGGCACTTTGATTAGCCGAGATGAGCTTCGTGCTGCACAGCAGAACGATGGACTTTGTTGCAGGGTCTCCGAGTGGTTATCTTCACGTGACCGACGTGGCAACAGAGGCGCTGACATGGGTTTCGACTCGTACTTACTGGCCGAAGACGGTCTGCTGCTCCGGTACATACCTCAGATCGACGACGAGGAGGGTGGCTCCACAGATACTCCATTTCGAGCCGTGATACCTCGCCGACTTCGCACTTCATTCATTAGATACTACCATGACTCCGCTTTGGCTGGTCACAGTAGTGGCTGCAAGACTTTTGAAAAGTTAAGCCGTACTGCAACTTGGCCAGGAATTCGTCAGGACGTGCTGAGGTACGCTCGTTCATGCCCGGTTTGCCAGAAAGCCAAACCGCGCGGTGGTAAGCCCCCTGGTCTAATGCAGCCAGTCGTAAGTCGATCCCCATGGGAATGCGTCGCTGTCGACGTCATGGGCTCTTTCCCACGCAGTCCGCGTGGCAACCAGTACCTGTTGGTTCTCACGGATCATTTTAGCAAGTGGGTGGAGCTATTTGCATTGCGATCGCTGACGTCCAAGAAAATCTGGTCGTGTCTGATGGAGACGTTCACACGCTTTGGATTTCCGGCAAAATTGATTAGCGACAACGCTACTTACTTTGCCAGCAAAGTGTTCCGAGACTCATGTGCCGCATTGGGCATACAACATAAGCTGACGTCTCCCTATCACCCGCAGACAAATATTACCGAACGGGTAAACCGAAATTTGAAGTCGATGTTGATCGCTCACACCGAGCGCCACCGGGATTGGGATGCGAAGCTTCCAGAACTTGCGTTTGCAACCCGAACCACGGTTAACCGATCTACAGGTTTCACACCCGCGCGCCTTAATTTTGGCAAAGAGCTGACTTTCCCGCTCGAAAATAGTTATTCTGTCGACGATCCGGGTGCTTCTCGCTCCTATGGCCAGTTTGCAGGCAATCTACGACTGAGACTCAGGGACATCGTTCGTGATGCCCGGGAGAGCTTGGACGTCGCCCGACTGCAACAGGCTGAGCAGTACAACCGAGGTCACCGGGACGTGCAATTCCACGTTGGAGACTTGGTGCTGCGCCGGACACACCCACTTAGTAACGCAGCCAGAGGTTTCACGTCATACCTGGCTGATAGGTGGGACGGTCCATATAGAGTACGTGAGAAAGCTTCACGCCTCACGTACACGCTCGTCGACTGTGAGTCTGGGCGACTCACGGGACCTGTTCATATGTCACCGACCTCAAGCAGTATTATGATTCGGCTGATGAACTTCTCTCGCAGGTGGGAAGTGTTGCTGATCTGGCTGGTACTTAGTTTACCGCCTACACTCTCGAAGACTTCAACGTCGGTGACGAGGACGAAGATTATAGAAAGAAGACTACAATGGGTTTAGCTGAGAACCAGCATTTTACCACCTATTTTGATTGATTGCGCGCGACTTTGAGCGGTATACATTTGACTGTTCTCGCGAGCTTAGCTCACCTGTTCTTGCGTTTACGTAGAAGACGTTTGCTTTTTTTGTAATGGACATTACTGACATCCTGTCTTTTTATTACCGATTTCCAAGCATGCCGCGAGTCAATCAGGCTGCCAGACGGTCCCCATCACCACCCCGGCACTGGCGACCCAGACGCTACTACCAGCCCAGGGGACGAGACAACCCGAACAACCACCACCGCCGGGGATCCAGACGATCGCACCAGCGGTCTACCGCCACCTGGGGCACCCTCGACAACCACGGACACCCAGTGGCCTGGTCGTCCAGCCTCGCTTGACACGACCAGCCGCACCCTTTGACGGTTGACATGGACGCCCAAGTGCCTGAACCTTTCAGAGGCTTCACGCTGAACACCCACCGCCCGGCGAACCCACCACAAAGTTACACGGAAGACGAGCGCCGACTCCTGTGCCCGCTCTGCGAGGGTGCCAGAAATCCACCGTCGTACCCACAGAGCTGGAGCACTTCATCGCTCGCGGGAGTCAGCAGCCGCCGCAAGGGCAGCCACCTTACACCTCGAAAGGATGAGGGACGACGATCTAGCACGCGCCATCGCCGTTATCAGGAGGCTCCGTCCTGCTCTCCTCCGCCCCCCATCCCACGCAGACCCGTCACCACCAGATGCTGCGGAGATCGCCATAAACATTGATGACGACGAGCAACTGGAGCAACTCTGAGAACAGTTCCTAATGCCGCGGGCTGGGGTGCGGGAGGGGGGGGGGGGGGGGGGGGGGGGACGAGAGGGGGGAAGTGTGTGGCAAGCGACATGCGGAGTGTGCAGTAGCGCGGCAGTGGCCGATACAAACCGTGGGCACGGGGCGCGAGCTCGAGCGTCTTGTGCGTGGCTCACGAGGGGCTCGGCGGCAGAAGACTCGAAGGGGCCGGAACGAAGTAAAGGTGTGTTTTTGCTATGTCCCGACTTGCGTGTCTTTCTTGCGGGCGAGCAGTGGCACCGGACCCTACATTTTTTATCTTGTGTACTGTGACGAACATAATTTATAGAGGTCTTTAAGAAAGCAGTGCTCAATTTTTGGGAACAAAAACAAAGAAATGAAAGCTGTTTTGGTGAGTCCGCGCGCGACAGAACAAATGCAACTGGAATGTTTGTTTCATTTTATGTTCATTGTTTTACGGCACCGTACACTCAGCCGTGTCAATCTATAGGTGACATTCACTTGACGTCACTCGCTAGGTTC